CACACCAGGCTGGACCCCGCCATTCCCAGAGCTCTCCGTGCCGGGTTCCCTCAGGGACCCCAGCCCGGACCTCTTCCCTTTTATTTCCCCATTTCGCCATTTTCCGGTACCCCTCACGGACAGCAGCCCCTCCCAATTTCCCCATTTCCCCCTCAGGGACACCGGCCCGGACCCCTCCCAATTTCCCCATTTCCCCCTCACGGACACCAGCTCCTTCCAACTTCCCCATTTCTCCCTCACGGACACCGGCCCGGACCCCTCCCAATTTCCCCATTTCCCCCTCACGGACACCAGCCCAGCCCCTCCCCATTTCCCGGTGCCCCTCACGAACCGCAGCCCAGCCCCTCCCCGCCGCCACGGCAATGCCGTGTATGTCCCCTCCCTGCCCGTTGCCATGACACCCCCGTGTGGGTCCCCATCCCCGTGTCCCCATCCCCGTCCCCGCTCCCCGGTCACCCCCGGACCTGCTCCATGCTGGCCGCTCCGCCGAACACGTGTGCGCCGCTCAGAGGCACGGCCACGCCCCTTCCCGCCGCTCTTCCGCCTTGCCGCGGCCCCGCGCCGCTCCCGGAGGAGGGGATGCCGCCGCTGGGCAGGACGGGATAACGGGAAGCGGCGATGAGAAGGGGAGAAGGGAACGGGAGAAAAAACGGGAAGGGGGCGGCAGCGCGGGAAAATGGGGAAAGCAACGCGCGCGTGCGCGGAGGACACCGCCCCGCCGGGCCCGCGCATGCGCGCTGCGGCAGCCGCGCGGATGGCTGGGTGAGGGCCGGGAAGGGGGCGTGGCTATGGAAGGGGGCGTGGCCACGCGGGCTGGGGGGCGTTCCCTGCGCGCCGGGCCAGCATTGGAAAGGGGCGTGGTCTCAAGAGAAAGGGGCGTGTCCACTCATTGGGGGTGTCACCCTGTGAGAGCCCCGCCCAAATATTGCCAAAAATGGCCCGAGGGCAGGGCCAGGGGTGAGGGGGCGTGTCTCTATGGGCAGGTGAGACGGGGGTGCTCCGCATCTGTAACACGCAGTAGGCGTGGCTACGGCACAAGGGGGCGTGCCCTGTGGCAAAGCCTTTTTCTATAAATCGCAGTGGGCATGGCTACTAAAAAAGGGGGCGTGTCTTTGCCCCAAGGCCCCTATCTGCAACACGTAGTGGGCGTGGCTACCGCGCAAGTGGGCGTGTCTTTGACCCAAAGCCCCCACCCCTTTCTCACATTAACATGAAATGGGCGTGTCTACCGCAAAAGTGGGCGTGACTTTGCGGCGCAGCCCCTATCAGTCACACGCAGTGGGCGTGGCTATCTCTCAAGTGGGCGTGTCTTTGCGGCACAGCCCCTATCAGTAACACGCAGTGGGCGTGGCTATCTCTCAAGTGGGCGTGTCTTTGCCTCAAGGCCCTATCAGTAACACGCAGTGGGCGTGGCTATCTCTCAAGTGGGCGTGTCTTTGCGCCACAGTATCAGTAACACGCAGTGGGCGTGGCCATCTCCTAAGTGGGCGTGTCTTTGCGCCACAGCCCCTATCACGCAGTGGGCGTGGCTATCTCTCAAGTGGGCGTGTCTTTGCCTCAAGGCTTTATCAGTAACACGCAGTGGGCGTGGCTATCTCTGAAGTGGGCGTGTCTTTGCGCCACAGCCCCTATCAGTCACACGCAGTGGGCGTGGCTATCTCCCAAGTGGGCGTGTCTTTGCGGCACAGCCCCTATCAGTAACACGCAGTGGGCGTGGCTATCTCCCAAGTGGGCGTGTCTTTGCGCCACAGTATCAGTAACACGCAGTGGGCGTGGCCATCTCCTAAGTGGGCGTGTCTTTGCGCCACAGCCCCTATCAGTAACACGCAGTGGGCGTGGCTATCTCCCAAGTGGGCGTGTCTTTGCGGCACAGCCCCTATCGGTAACACGCAGTGGGCGTGTCCTTATGCAAGCCCCGCCCCCTTCCCGTTCCGCCGCGCTCCCTCCCGCCCCCAAGATGGCGGCCGCCATGCCGCCCCCCGCCCGCGCCGCCGCCGCCGCCGCCGCCCGGGGCTCTCCCCGCGCTCTTTAACGGCGCCGCCGCCCCCGGGGCTTTCCCCGCGGGGCCTCCCCCAGCCCTTCCCGCCCCCGCCGCGGCCATGGAGGGGCCGGGCGCGGCGGCGGCGGCGGCGGCGGCGGGCGCGGGCCCCGGGCCCTGCAACGTGCCCGCGTTCCTGACCAAGCTGTGGATGCTGGTGGAGGACCCCGAGACGGACGCGCTGATCTGCTGGAGCCCGGTGAGTGCCCGCGGCCGCTCCCGGGGCCGCGGGGAGCGCCGCCCGCTCCCGCCGGCGAGGCCCGGCCGGGCCCCGCGGGCCGCTTCCCGCGGGAAAACTGCCCTTTCCCGCCACGAGCCGGCTTTTCCCGCCACAAACACCCGCTTTTCCCGCGGAATTGGCCGGTAGTCACGCGAAAAATCTCGTTATTCCCGGGAAAATCCCACTTGTCCCACGAAAAATCCCACTTTTCCTGGGAAAAAGGCCCTTATTCCCACGAAAACTTCCGTTATTCCCGGGAAAAGCCCTTTATTCCCGCAAAAAATTCCATTATTCCCGCAAAAAATCACGTTATTCCCACAAAAAATCCTCTTATTCCCTGGAAAAATGCCGTTATCCCCGCGAACATTCCAATTTTTCCCATAAAATTCCAGCTTTTCCCACATAAAATCCCACTTTCCCCAGGGAAAATCCCATTATTCCTGGGAAAATCCTGTTATTCCCGCGGAAAGTCCAATTTTTCCTTGAAAAACTCCAGCTCTACCAGCGTAAAATCCCTCTTTCCCCAGGGAAAATCCCATATTCCCATTTTTTCCGGGAAAAAATCCCATTATTTCCTGGAAAATCCCACTTTTCCCACAAAAAATTCCATTTTTCTTGAAGAAAATCCCACTTTTCCCAGGGAAAATCCCATTATTCCTGCAAAAAATCCAATTTTTCCCATAAAATTTCAGCTTTACCCACAAAAAATCCCATTATTCCTGGGGAAAATCCCCTTATTCCTGGAAAAATTCTACTTTTCCTGGGAAAAATTCCATTTTTCCGACAAAAAATCCCACTTTTCTCAGGAAAATCCCATTATTCCCACAGAAAATCCAGGTTTTCCTGGAAAAAATCTCATTATTCCCACTAAAAATCCAATTTTTCCTGTAAAATTCCAGCTTTTCCCAGGGAAAATCCCTTTTTTCCCACAAAAAAATTCTATTTTTCCTGCAAAAAAATCCCGTTTTTCCCACAAAAAATCCCATTTAATAATCCAGAAAATTCCTTTAAATATTCCTAAAAAAAATCCCCCCAAATTCCCAAGAAATTCCCAAAAATTCCCAAAAATCCCCCAGAAATTCCTTAAAAATATCCCAAAAGTCCCCAAAATTCCCATTTCATTCCCAATTTTCCATGTTTGACCAGGGCCGGTTCTCCCAAACATCCTCAAAATTCCCAAAAATCCCAAAAATTCCAAGAAGTTCCCAAAAATAATCCAAATAATACCAAAAAATCCCTAAAATTCCCAAATAATTCCAAAAACATCCCAAAAAATACCGAAAAACTGCCCAAGAATTCCCAAAAAATCCCCCAAAATTCCAAAAATCCCAAAATTCAAAAAATGTAAAAAAAAGTTTCAAAAAATCCAAAAAAATCCTCAAAAATCCACAAAATTCTCCCCCCCAAAAAAAAAATCCCAAATAGTTCCCAAAAATTCCCAAAA